GTGTTTACATCCTCTTTCAGTTTTATACTGTTGAAGAACTGCAAAAGAGTTTTGCTTGAAGCAAAACAAAACTAGCAAAGGACACAGGAGAGGTTGGGGGCAGGGAGGAAGGCATACAGTAAACTCCCATACACTACACAAAATGTAACTATTCTATTATGACAGAAATGCCTGTATAGTTTTCTTCACGTTTTGTTGATATTAAAACCAAATTTTTTTAACAAAGTCCTTTCAATGAAAAGTATCACTTTGTGAGAGGTCAGTCTTCTCTCAGAGCATCATCTCCAGAGTCCCATTAACAATTGTTAAGTATACACAAAGACAATTCAGTTATTGCTATATAGATCTCACCAGAGCAAGAGCTATGATAAAGAAGGGGAACAAGAAACGGTTCTTCTCAAACTACACACACACACCCTGTAACTGCTAAAACCTGTTTTTGTTTCTTAATTGTAACTTCTGGGTCAGAGATGTCAGTAATTTACCTAAAAAAGAAAAGGAGTTAGACAGCAGATCTGGAAACAGAATTTGGACAGTCTGGATGTAGCCACACCCCCATTTTTCCTTCTTTCTATGTATCATAGCTATGAAGTTTCAAACACAAGCTTTAGAATGATCTCTGATTTTCAGCACCTTCCAGCAAGAAGGCTGTCCGATTAGGGTAACAGTTCATTAATTCTACTGAGGACTCTTAACAAGCAGTATTAATTTAGAATGTCAACTAAAGAAGCAAACTAAATGCTTAAACATTGAAGAATATTGTTCTGCTGAACATTTTAAAATACTGGTGAACTGAAAGCATACAGTCAGCTAGTGATTCCATTAAGAATAAAAAAGCATTCATGAATGTATTAATTCCTGTACTTACTTAATTCCTTAGATGCCAGAACTCTGCGGTACTAGCCAAATTGAGACAGAAACTCACAGGTTTGATTTTTTTTGCCAGAATCAAGGAGGGTACTTGGTAAAACTGTCATTTGTTAAAATCTGTCTTCAGAAAAGGACAGATTTTCAGAGGTAATACATATCACTCCAACTCGAATATGCAACACTAAGAAAAGTGGACACATAATAATGGACTAATTAACACAGTGTTACAGACTTGATGTCTAGACAAGATAAGACATTTCAAGAATCCCTGCTACCCGTGCTCATGAAGGAAGAACAAAGAGATAGCGTTTCGTGTAACACTGATGCTGAATAGCTCCAATTATGAATTTAACACCAGGGACATATTTGTCATCACTTCCGAAAAAAACCCCAGACTTCAGCACATTATATGCAAAAAAGCATAAATTGATCCTTAACTACATAAAACCAGAAGCTAAACAACTCCAAAATATTACCTTAATGCATAATGCATGCTATTAAATGCAAAGATATTTTAAAAGTCCATTAAATGGTTACATTAGCAAACTATAGACATTCATTGATCCTGATATGCAGATGCAAAATTCACTACTATGCTGTTTTCAAGTAACCAGACCAAACTTTTAAGCATGTGTTTAATGGGGATCTACCTCACCATGCTCAGACAAATGCTCAGACATTTAACACCTTATTTCAAAATTGTAAAAGCAAAGAAATGAGGGAAATGCATGTTCAAAGATCTAAGGAAACACCTAACTTAAAAAAAAAAACCCAAAGAAACAATCGAAAAACATTCCCAACTCAGAAAGCTAATTATCTCAGTATTTAAAAAAAAACAACCTCTCCAAGTCTTTTTATTATAGACAGAACATTAAAAAATACATCATGGGATATATTAAAATATGAGAGACAGAATTTCCACTCCATGCAGAAACACAAAGATTGAAAAGACTATGCACCTGGATTGAAGGGAAAAGTTTTCACAGTACCTGCCATACAAAAGTGCCAGAAAAAACCCTATTCTTCCAAACATGAAGTGTCAGAGCCAGAGAATTCTAGGAAACCAACCCTTCCCTGAGAGCTGCAGAGCCCACTCCTAGTGGAGCAGGTCCCAAAAGCAGGGAAGCACACCAAGGAGCTGGGATTCTGCAGTTCGAGAATGCAGACAGAAAGCTGTCAAGAGAAGTGAGCATAAACCGGGTCCTTGGTTTCTTTCCGAGGAAGAAACCAGGCTCTGGAATGCAAGGGCAGCTGAGCTCAAGTCACTGGAAGAGGCTGCCCAGGGAAACAGCAGAGCCTCCTTCACCGCCAGAACGCAGGGCTCAGTCTGACAGAGAATGACCTGATCTAGGCCCTGTCTCGAGGAGATTGGCTCAGGTAAGTCCTGTGCAACCCTAGGTGCTTCCACAATAATGTCACTATGTGTGTTGTGTCAAAGATGAGACCAAAAATGTACAGGATCTGCAGTCCCAGTTCAGAAATGTTTTCAAGCAACTGTGAATCTGCAACCATATCTTTCCTTTCCAAGTAATATTGGCACACTTCAAATGAAATACATACTTCAAAGTTTTTCTAGTTTGGGAGTGACACAGATAATTCTTTGCTCGGTTTAAACAGTGTCTGGATTTTTCCAAACCTTTATCCGTGAGCAGTACTTCCAGTTTCCACTTTTTGTGTCAGCTTCAGTTAATATCTGCAAAGCAACTGCAGACTCCTAATAGATAGTCACTATATAGCAAACAGCAACTAGCCCTTCGTTTGACACATTTTGCCGTCATCATCAGCACACAGGGAATTTAGTTTTTTTCAAACAACATGATTTTACATGAATGTTCGCAAGTCCCCCATCAAATAAATAACAGACAACTATTTTCTTGATAAGCCAGGGTGATCACTTATAATCATGCTTCATTTAAAATTCTGAAATTGGCAACTGTGTTATTGCAGCTTAGACAAAAAGCAGAGGCAACTTTACAAAAGAGTGATACCAGCGATACACAAGATACTAAGATGGACTAATTTAAAACAGAACACCTGTATGAATATTTCATTCAATTGCTCAAGGGATATTTCTGCTTGTTTTTCTTATGAGAAAAAGCAGACTATATCACAAGCTGCCACCTCCCTCCTGCCCAGGGCATCAGACTGCCTGTTTTTGTGCTGCACAGCAATGGATTTGCTCATTGCGACATCATGCATGTTCTGTCAGCAGTTTTTTGCCTCTGAGTTTTCCTGAAATAGTACCATCCTATGAAGTAAAAGTACATATTTGGAAATTTTTCCTCCTTTTCCAGGTTAGTGATTTGGAGATAAATGGATATGGAGAGGGCAAAGCAAAGAATGCTTTTTCAGAAGTTTGGAACAGCCAAGAAATACTTGGCAATCAGGTTGAGAATAAACATGAACCAAAAAGCAAACATTATCAGATCTAGTGCTCCAAGAGAAAGTTTAGGAGACAGAAGTAGAAGAGGTTCAATGGGTCAAGCCTCACTTCCTCAAACATTAGCTGGGCCCTCTCCAGTTCTTTAACACATACTCAATGGCACATGCCCTGTCTGACTTCATTTCTTACTTTCTTTAAATACCTTAATAGCTGTCCAGTGTATACTGAAAAACAACCTCTTGAAAATCTTGCTTTGCAGAAAGATTACAGCTTCACCATTCTTGCAGCATTCCTTGTAATAAGCACGTTATTTTAGTAATCCTTCCATAAAATTACATTCCAGAAATACTACATTAAACACTTGAATTAAATTTAACTGAAAAGAAATCCACAGAACCAAATAATTTTTCTACTAGTACTTGAGTCTTCAAGACAAATAATCAGAAATAATGAAAAAGCTTTCTTATAATTTTAGTAGCTTACAGTTCACTTTACAGATTTAAATGTTAAGCTAAATTTACTTTTAGATGCTGAGAACTCAAAGTAAACAGAATAGTGTACAAAATTCTACAGACTGATTCCATATATAGTAGGAAGATTCACAGTATTTTATTATGATGACATTATGATATTCATGATGATTATGAAAATCATCAGGTCTATCACAACAATTTTTTAAAAATCCAGAAAATTTAATTGCAAACCCAGAAGTTAATTTTAAATATTTACGTGAAAAATATGTAGATAATTTTCCAGTGATTAAATAAATAACTTGTCTTAATTCTTAACAAATTCATAGTATCTGGTTCATAAGAAAATAATCATCTTGTTCAGTAAAATACTTCTGGCATCACTCTAGAATCTTATTATCTTCTGCAGAAGCTGACAGCTTCAATATTAAAATCAACAACAGGAGAAACTGGTTGTGCGAAATCCAAATCTAAGTTATTCCTCAGGCTTTTTTGAGCTAAAAAGTATTCGAATTTTATAGACCATAACCTAGATTTCCCTACAATTAAGTGCAAACTCTACCAAACATAGTAGCATTAGATCATGTGGAAAACAGTATTTGGATTTTATGATCAAATTTTCACCCATTTTCACTATAACCCTGTCCTTAGGGCCTAGGGAAATTTAACCAACTTGAGGCTAACTCAGCAAAACAGCTATTCTTTAAAAATCTGTTCCTAAGCTGTGTATTTTTTTCAGTTCGTCATTTTTAAAAGGTCCTAAGTTTATGCATTTAGTCTTTTAGGCCATTTGTGACCCTGCAATCAGACACACGGGGATAAACCAACTGCATCATGGCTCTCACAGTTACAGCACACTCCATCCCAGTCAGACCCCGCATGTATGGAAAGTTGTGCTCACCAGGAACATGATTATGTAAAGTCTATATTAACAGAAGAAAAACAATTGAGTAGAAAGCTGGTTTTCAAGTGTCAATGAAAAGGAACAGTGTTGCAGATCAAGAAGTGGCCTCACAGGCAAGTAGAATTAAGAGGCAGTCATGGTCTTAGCTTGCAAAACAGCAGCTGTTGCATGTAAGTTGCAGAAAACTACCGTTGATTCCCATGTGCAGATAAATGCCATGGTTCTTCAGAGTTAAACAGCTGGAGAGGTTACCACATCATCTTGAAAAAGCAAATTACATTCATATGGCACTCCAAAGAGCAAAAATTAATCAAGGTAATTTTAGCAGAGCAAACCATTACTGTATTAGTGACAAAAGGCCAAGAAGACTCACCTGTTCAATCTCCTTTGTCTTAGCTGCAATTGCTTTTGAACGACTAAGAAGCTGGCTGTCCTCATATAATTCTGTACTATCTGTTAGATTTGCTTCTGTTTCCTCTGTTTGCTCAATGTATAATGGAGCTGAAGATCCAGCCTTAAAAAAAAAAAAAAAAAAAACAATAAATTCAGTTTTCAGAGAAAAATAAAAAACACAGTGTGCGGAAAAAACCCCAAAACCCCAAACACAGTCATAAGAGATATGAGTTTGCTCCTCAAGACTATTAGTGAAGTATTATTGCTACAATTCTAACATATGCAGAAATACAGATTTTAAAAATGTAGAAATTTTAAAAACGTAGAAAATATGACACGATAAAATCCCCTGTAGCACAGCTTTAACTGTGTAAAGGCAACGATGTCAGATAACCTCTACCTGACCATCTAATGAGAAGAAATTTGTGTACATGGTATTACATTATTATATACAGTATTATATTATTGTGGTACACGGTGGTATTTACAACACCATTAAGCAAGAAAAATCCACCATGAAAATGTGATTAGTCTTCTGGGAAAGATAAAAGTAACAAAATAAAAATGCTGTCAGGAAGAACTCTTGAAGGATTCAGGGCCACAGGTCTGTTACTAAAGGAATTGCAATATCTATCATACAACTAAATCAATGTGTGATTTGAGGATTTCTAGTAACATGAAAAATCAAACTAGTAAACTTCCCTGCAAAATTGAAATTGAGACAGTATTCCTGCTCCAAAGAAAACAGATGCCAGGTCCAAGGATTTAATATAGAAATATGTAGTAATTCTGTTTTATGGCATTATTTACACAGACTATTATGGAAGAATTTCTAATTTTTTTTTTAATAGGATTTGAAAATTGAAGAAGATGAAAACTAGTTCCTCTTATTCAAAAACAGAGGTGAAGAATCTTAAGACTTAACTAACATGAAAGAGAAGAGCTTTAGACAGAAAAAGGAGGTAAAAAAGCTTTAGTGGTCCTGTGAACATACTGTCAAACCTTAACAGCAACACAAACCATTACGATTGAATCCCATATCTTGCTATCCCAGTAAAGAATGAAATGCCTGAGAGTGAGTGAAGGCTATTAAAAAGCTCTGTGCAACACAAAGTTCAACTATTAAGCACTATGTCAGATAAACAGGAAAAAGTTAAGAATTCCTGCAATTCATATGTGACACTAATATCACTAATGTGATACTAATCAAGGTTTGAAGTCCTTTCTTCTAAGACTCAGAACGAAATGCCTCACCTCCTTCATTAGCATTTATACAGTCCACTTTCTTACTCAATAAATCATCTACATACCATAATCAACTACAATTGTTTCACTTGGATTCTATATATTTCATCTTTTTGCCACTGCAACTTTCTTTGAGCTGTGGAGGACGCTTTAAACAACTCTTCTCTATATGGTGCACTCTGTTCTTTCCTCCCTTGGATTATCTTTCCCTCATCAAGAACCACAGTGATATTTCTCTGCTGAGCCTCTCAGAAATGTCCATATGTTTATTCTCCGTCATATGGTATTCATCCTTGGATCAGTTATTGCTGTTTCTTCACTCTAACACTTCCTCCCTTTATTTTTTTCTTAAATTTTTAATTTCCATTTTTAATTGCTTTTTCCAGTTTATTTATCTAACTGTATCTAATAGTTTTTGTATCTAACTGTATCTACCTGACCACTACTGAGGAGCTGCTAATGCATTCACTCATTACATCAATGGACAGGACTTGAAAGTTCACATTCGTATGGATTCAGTGAGTTTATTTTTCTAACCTAGCCCTTACATTCTACACGTGGAAATGTGATACTTCCCAAGACACCTTAATTTTCCCTAAAATTATTTACAAACAAATTTTTCTTTACAAGTCAAACCTATTAATTGGAAAGGTTAAAACATGACTTTGTGAAGCAGATACTATTTTGCTTTTTTTAAGAATGCCTCTGAAGCTGAAACAAAGTGAAAGTTAAGGAGAAAATTATCACAGAATTAAAACAAATTATTTTAAATTACATAATATTTGGGTTGTTTTAAATGAAGAATACATTTTCCACTAACATTACAGAACCCAAAAAAGACATCCTATCCAAAAGCAGTATAACAAATGACTGAGAAGAGCTAGAATCACACTTCAATACACCCAGGAGTATAAGACAAGGAGGGGTGAAAACAAAAGGGGATAAATTGGCAAATAATTAACATTGATTAATAATGAAATAAGGATTCTGGGGAAAATAAAAAATATACCCACTGCAGTAACAAGGTAAGCTTTATTTTTAATTTAATGGAGGACTGCTTTCTGAAAAAGAATGCATGACATGGTAGGCTGACACAGCTTGAAACAGAACACAACAAATCAGAGTTTCTCTCCTCAAGTCTTATGTTTTACATGTACACTCATGTTTTGCCTCCCAAGCTCCCTCCTAATTTAAGGAGCTCAGTAGGCATACAGACCTACATTACTACAAGAACTCATTGGAGAATGCTTGGGAGAGCTGAAACTTTATTGTGTCAGTCGTAGCTCAACATCAATTCAAATCATACTAACAAAATGGACTGTGGCTTTGTGTATTTTTTCAAAATAAATTGCAAGGTTTTAGTCTCCCTCTCATTCCCTTTCAACAAATATTTAATAGCAAAGGCAGAAAAATTCAGGATTAAGTTACAAAATGTGCCTTTATGAAGAGTACAGAAAAGCAAGAGCCTATTGCTGTAAGACTTTGAAATTAGTGGATTAATAATCCTATCTTACATCATATTCTGTTATTTCAGGTAAATTGCTTTCCTCGGCTTTCTCTGACTTTTCAGCTGCCCACTTGCTTGCAGCTTCTGCAAGTTCCTTTTCTGATAGTCTGCTGCTCTTCTCCAAGGCCTGTACAAAAACATTATAGTCAAGGTTTAACATGAAATACACTTACACATGGCAAAAATCTTCAAAATTAAAATAAACAGTTATTCCAATACTTAAAGTATTTTAAAATAGAAAATTCAAAAGTTGAAATTATTTTATATGATGTCCAATTTCTTTAAAAAGAAAAGGGGGTGGGCAGAGAGCAGATAATAAAGAAACAAGAGAAGAAAAAAAGATAAATCAATGAAGGTCAGTGGACAACTACAGAATCACTATACTTTCTGAATAAGGTTTATTAAATTCACAGGTCAGAGATAACAGAAAACAATTTTGAGACCTGTTGGGCATTGAAAGAAGTCAGATACAAGAGTGGAGTGAACTAATAATTCAGTGTGATTTTCAGACATAAAAGATCGCAAAAAATTTCAAATAAACTGTTAAATACCAGGCAGGATATAAAACCTGAGCTAATTAGGGACAAAAAAAAAAGGTTTATACACACTAAGTGATCACAGTTGGTTCCATTGAATTTCATTATTTTTTATTTGGGGGAATACTAATCATTTATAATAGAATCAGTCATGGTTATATGTTCTTTTAAATCTACTTCTTCAAGTAGAAATTCTCACATAAATAACGTGTAAAAATTGATTTCTCTCTAAGAATATTATTTGGCCTTTACTGTCAGAGAAGCAAACAGACAACGACAAATATCAGTTTAAGAACAGCTAGTTTATAAGTCTTGTTACCACTATGCAGATATTTAACTTAAATCAACTGTATGTATAGAAGCATCCAGAGAATCTCTATCACTCTAGCATTAAAAACTGCAATACTAAGATGGGTATCTGAAAAAGAGATACAAAAATTCTACCGTTTCTAACAATTTCTAACAATTCTACAATTTCTGAAACAATTTCTACCCAATGCCTGTTCCATCTCTGCAAACAGGTAAAAAAAAGCAAACGAAATCCCAAACGAAAGAAACCAACACTCTGCCTCTTATCATGAGTTCATTCTAAGTTACATAAATGGCCAGTATCAAAACTCCTTTGTCTTCACATCTTTTATGCACACCTCAAGCAAAGTATTATCCAAATAGCTAAGTACTGTAGCATGGCATATACATGTAATTCACAGAACACTTCTAGGATTCTGTGTCATAAGGACACGACATTTGTCTGAATCCAGACGAGAAGTGCAACACGATGTTACAATAGGAATCCCTGTTTATTATAACTGCAAATTAAAGAATCACGACCAGTGAAGTCAGGAGGTGACAAAGTTCATTATGCAGGGATATTAAGAGGGCTCTTAAAAGAAAGGAGTAATATAATTCATAGACCATCTCACATGACCTGCTATATTTCTACAAACCATAAAAGAAATTAACTAATATCTACTGGAATACAGAAAAAAAAATCTGTTAAATTTAATCTCACTAAATTTAATTCTATAGATTAAATATTGATATGTTGAATATTGATAAATACTTATTAAATCCCGAGTTAATTTTATGGAATAAAGGAATGGTATTTGCACAGGTACACTTCAGCTGAAGAGACAGAACAGGAATATATTTTCCAGCTGAAAATAGCAGCAGCTATTTAGGATGCAAACTTGCAAGAAACAACCAACCTAATAGATCTCATAAAACTAAATTGCCTTCCTCCCCCCCAAAAAACCAGAAGTCTCTTTTTTTTATTATTTTTTTATCTCATCAATAACACAGAAAAGCAAAAGCCTGTCACTTTGCTCAGCAGCTGTCCTCGTCTCACACATCTGCCTTTTGCTCTACGCTGGAAACAGCCTCCAAGGCTTACAGTCCATACAACTAATAAAGAAAAACAGAAGATTTCATGCCATAGTCAAACAGGTGGCTAAGATCAGGTAACATCAACATGCATTAATTCACACGTAAGAATATGCAAAAAATAATTATAGATAAAAATACCTTTTTATTTTACAAATAGATATTACAGTGAAAAGAGTTATTGTTATGGAAACATACACCTTTGTAATAATTTCAAAGTTAAATTATAACTTAGAGTGTTGAAAATAATCTCCTTTAATCACTATTATATAGAATATAACTAATTTCTCAAGCCTTGATAAATTGTAAGATTCTGGTTCTGGAGATATTCATGTTTTGCCAAGACTACTTCTGTCGCTACTTCTGAGTCAGTGAAGCACTTGAGTAACTTAACTGCTCAGAGCACTTCCAGTCAAGAGGCTGATTCCAAAAGGCTCCACTGACACAGGGCAGTTACATTATAAGCAGATTTGGAGACTCAAGAGAAAAATCAATAAACAGTCATGGAAATATTTCCATTTCTGCAGTTGATGCATATTCAATAAATATGCACACTGTCTGGAGAAATGATTTCCATCAAACAAAGTTTCATTTTGCATAGCCTATATCAAGTGGATAGCCACTGCCAGCAGATACTTGTAAACTGATGGCAAGAAACCAATACAGCATAGATCAGACCTGACTGAAGAAGAAACCACAATACTTACAGAATACACAGTTCAAGCTCACACTACATATTAACAAAAATGCAAGAGATTTTGCAATGCCTCCTTGTTCTCAAAGGTGTGTATTAAGTAAGCATTTGATATTAAGCTGTGGTGTGCTAAGTCTATAAACAAAGTAAGTGAACTAATCATAAAGTATATTTTATGATCCAAATCAGTATAACTTGTGCATATAGCTTTTATCATATTTTCCCTATTTACATCACTGAAAATACATCACTTGCCTCCCCACTTAAGGAGAATGGCAATCAGCTGGCACAGCAGCTCTAAAAAAGATGTGTAAGAGATAAGTACTTAGAATGACAAAGCACAACCAAAGCCTATTTTTTTCCCCATTGAATAACATGGCAGGTGTGTCTGTGTCAAAATGAGTGGTAATACCAACATACTCACAACGACACAGCTCTAAGACCAAGTCCTATTCCTATTGTAAGGAATAGGAAGTAGTATTGTAAAGAATATGCACTTTTACAGGTGTATGCAGTATCTCCTTCCAACTGAGGAAAAAAATAGAACAATGAGCCATCTAAAACTATGGTGTGAAGTACTCAAAAAGAAAATTCACCTTTGATGAAGGTACTGCTGTGGACCCTGAAGGTGATGCATCTCTTGACGTTTTCAGTGACTGAACTGTCCTCTCTTTACCTACAATTAAGAAAAAAAATAATGACTGAGAAATTAAAGATATATATTGCAAATATGCTTACTGGCTTAGAAAAATTGCAGTGAAATTTTGTCATGTCAGACATGAACCATATCACCCTCAACAACTACTTGACAGGAGGCTGTAGCAAGATGGGAGTTGGGAGTCTTCTCCCAGGCAACTACTGACAAGAGGAAATGGCCTCGAGCTGTGCTAGGGAAGGCTCAGGCTGGACATCAGGAAGAATCTTTTCACTGAAGGAGTGGTTAAGCTTTGGAACAGTTGTTCAGGGAGGTGGTGGAGCCACTGTCCCTAGCAGTGCTCAAGACACGATATGTGATTTCACTTTTTAATATTCCTGCAATAATACAAAAAGTTGAAATATCAGACACCAGTCAAACACTCAAGGTAACCAGGTAGTGCATGAACTAGTTTAGCAGGCTCAGTATGTTGAAAAGACCTGCCACAGGAAACAGTCCTGTATTGTATCAGCCACAGAGTAGATGCTTCTTGTAAGATCACTGTCTTTCTTACAGAAGTTAATATTAGCAAATGTCAAATAAAACTCACAGTGTTAATCACAATCTGTGCACAGTTTTGCCACAGACCAGTTACAGGCAGCCCACAGCAACAGAACTGGTTGCAGTGTAAACTACTAGTTTTCAAGGTGTGGTCCACAGATTACATTTAAGAGGTCTGGAAAAGGTAAGTGCAAAAACCAAATGTTGTTGGTAGGCCTAAATTAACCAGACTATTCACACTCACTGGGAAACAGCTGACTGATCACAAAGAAGCCAAGGTAATGTAAACTTACCTTGGCTTCCATTAAATTTTTATAAATAAAATTAAAGGGATTAATTTAAAAATCTATCAAAGAGTTATGAAAATTGGTATAGAAATCATTTTTGTAGAACTATAAATTTGATTGTTCATTATGGCTTTAAATATGGATTTAATTTAATGAGCAACAAAGCACAGAACATCTCCCTTGTCACCACTAAGTAACACAAGTTTCGTTCCTGTGATATCTGCTTTTCAAACCGGTAGATGAGCCACCTCCTTTTAAATTCGTGGATTACTCTAACTCTGCCTCCCACATGCCTCCTTTGTCAGACTGGATTCTTTAAAGATTATCTCAGTTGAACGGATTATATGCTTGCACCTGAAGAGATGAAATTAATTGATACAAATGGCAGTTAAGCAAAGTGAAAATACACCATTTAATTAGAAGACATTATTAGGCCATTTTGTTCAGAATGCGTGTGGCTATTTTGAGCCCCAAAGCCCAACATGTAATTAAACATTACACTCTCCAAGTACCAGTATTTGCTTTCTTGCATTTCCTCAGCACACCATTCTCCTGACCCCTTACTGCCTTGGCCCATGAAGGAATGCCATTCTGCTTCTCTCCGTGCTCTCCCATCACACATAAATGCTTGCCCTTCCCATTAGCCCTTTCCCTCCCTTTACCAAGCTTCTTCATGTCCCTGCACTTTTCTTTGTTTAAATTCTGTATTTATCCTAATGTAGAGCAGGAGATACTCCTTCTTCAGTGGAAGTCATGTGGCCAAACCAATTCAGATAGCATGATTTTAAATAGCATTATAGTATTTCAGAAAGATGACAAATTCCACGTGAAATAGTATCTACTTTGCATGTTGTAAATCCATTTAAATGCTGGCATATGAGATGTCTCACGTGATGCTTCTTTTGCAATATCACATCCTCCTTGATGCAATACACGAGCTTACCTAAGGCAAAACACATTCAAAAATTATTCTAAAACTATTATTTAAACCATTTATATCTTGCAAATAGGTATTTCAATTCAGTCATCTAGAGGGACATTTTAGTAGTCCTCCTTTCCAGGGAAAGGAATAAAGAAATAGTCCAGTGTACAACTCAGCTTGTCTCTTAAAACTTATCTAAAGGTGATTGGGAAAGGTATTTCACCAGGCAAATGAGAGAAAATATCAACACCCGTAGACTAGATGTAAGCTTCTCTCTTGATCAGCATCTTTTCTGGCTTGTGAACGTATCTGGTTCTACATCACCATCTCCACTACTGTCAGAGTCATTCTATATATAGTATATACATATATGATTAAAGTCAAAATTTAAAAAAAAAAGTGAAACATTCCAAAATTTTGTATGGTTTCTCACATTGTTTTCCTGCCCCTAGTAATTACAAGCTTCTAGATAATTAATTATCTTTTCTTCCTCTCCTACACATAGAAGAATTTATGTTCACTAAGTATTGCTATAAAATGTTAAAAACACTGTAATGCCCAAATAGAAAGACCAACTCTACTCTGCAAGGACTGAAATTATTCCTCAATATTTAAACAATATTAACTAAACTACAAAGATCTTTTTTGACAAGAAGTGTCACTCTGGAAACACAACATGCCTTCTTAGTGAGTAAAAAAAAAAAAAAATCTAATTCATTTTTTTAAAAGCTGCCAAAATGCATAGGTTTGCATAGCTCACTAGAAAGCATTTGTGGAAAAGGAAATCAAATTGGATCAATTTACATAAGTTGCACAAATAGAGTGGCTAAGATTGTAGTATACTAAAAAAGCAATTTCTTTTTTTTCCACCAAAATAATTTAAATATGAAACCTCAAATATTTTTAAAACAGATGATTCGCTAAAAAACAGGAAGTTTCCAAAGCCTAGTAAAATTTGGAGAAAATGCAACAAGTAGAAGTAGGTACTTTCATTTCTCCATTTTTTAAATCCTTGTTTTATTCTGTTTGCAGGAAGAAATGTCTTCATCTGCTGTAGATGAAGCAAACTTTCTTGTCAGGGAATCCAATGAAGCAGAAAAAGAAGTAACAGGAGCTGATGTTAAAAAGAATATAAAATACTAGTTTCAGCTGTGCAGCTGAAACTCCTACAGTCAGTCTAGACCGGATACCAAAATAACACCTACCATCTCCCACATGGAATACATAAGGGAACAGAGAGTACAATGAAACAACCAGAGCAGACAGCACATAGACAGTACAAAATGTCAGCTTTTCCCATTTCAAAAAGAGCATGTAAGGAAAAAAGGCTGATACAGTGAGCTGCAGTTTCACCTCACTAACCAGTTCACATCATTAATCCAGCATTACCTTGCTGAGAAGAAACATTTCTTTTATGTAAAGATGACATACTTCTGCTATGCTGGTGGAAAGGATAGGCTTTGCTTCTTTCAGGAGAGTAGCTCCTGCTGCTGACACTAGAGCCAGATCTGCTGTGCGGAGAATCCCTTCGGCTCCCTGGCGATTCCCTGAAGAAAGGAGAGTCCCTCTTGTGAGGGGATCGATCTCTCACATAATGAGAAGAATAGAAGCTTTTTCTTCTGAAGCCATCTCTGACATCCCTTGGAAGACAAAAGAAAAATACAAGTCACTTGGTTATCCTTCCAACGTTTATGGAACAGCACATATACAACGGCAACAGTTCATGCTTGGCAAACACAAAGAGGTTAACTGTCATCTGCAGAACACATCCAAAATCCTCACTGTTTTTAAGAGTACTAGGCAAGGAATGAAAAACAAGTAAAAAAAGCTTTTAAAAAACATAATTTTTTCAGATTTCCTTTGAGGTACTTCATTGCTAGAAGCTAATTCCTTTCTATTTCTTGATAATACAGCTAAAATGTAAGAAAAAGACATTGACAAAATTAGAGCTCTCACAATTTATTTCCAATTCAGTACACTTACTCTGGAAATTAAGCTGTAATTTACAATAGCTAAAAATGCATATGCAAATATTGCTTACACTATTTGGCATTTTTCAGCTATGTTTTTCTCTTATTTTCAAGAGACTATATTCCTCTGATTTCACACACTTTGCTACATGAAATATCACTGAGAGATTTCAGCTTATATCCAGCAAAGACAGAACTGCAGAATACCTATTCTCTCGCCTATGAATCCACTCAAGGTCAACTCTTGAATGAAAATATGACTACTTATATCTCCTAAATATGTTTCTCACAAGACACAATATTTATTTTGAACTTTAATGTAAAATGTCACAAACCCAACTGATTTAAAACCATAATTTAACAAGCACCAATACTAAATTTGATACTAAATTTAAATATTGTTACTCCAGACCACAGCACCAATGTGTTGGTTATTTGTAAATCACATAATGTACATATAAGTGCAAAGGTGGAAAAAATCCCCTAGGATCATTTCGCACTTGTCCTAAAGAATCTCATAGTTAAAGGACATATGAGGCAACTGAATCTTGACTTGTCACTTTTGCTTTGGTCATAAGATGCACTGGTAAGAGTAGCAAGTACTTCTCAGCTTCTTCATAGAAATCTCCAAGATTTCACAACATTTCTAGTAAATCAGAATGTATGTCCTTTCCTATTTCGCATCAGAGTCCAGTATTTTAAATAGGGGAATGTCTCACAAAAATCTCATTTATCATGAGAGTGGTCCCATTTAGCACAATGTACCTATCACTAATTTTATGTTAGTGGAGAAGAAGATGTGCAATTCCCACAGCATGGCACAGGCCCGTATTTGTAACAGATAACAAAGGATTTCCATGTGCAAAGGTGTCTTGGGCTACAGAAGCTTCACAGGTAGCACCACAGAACAAAAACCCTGTGATACTGATGTGTTTACACAGCACACGTTTACTTTTAACATGGCAGGCACATCTTCATTATATGCGTGACTTTCATGGAGCAACAGGCATGAAGTGTGCTTGAAGAATATTAGATTAACTCAGCACTGAACTACTTTTTCTAGCTAAGTAGAGGGTTACTTATTTATTAAAGAACATATTGATCAAATATTTATCAGGAATCAGTTAGGCACAGCCCACTTTCTCTTCCATTTCTATCTTAATCGCTCTCTTTAAATACTGTTATTTATTTTTAAAGCATAAACTGTCTGGCAGACCAGTACACCGCTTTTGTGTGTAAAACTTTTATGACCACGTTATTAAACCCTCATATACAGAGCAGTTTATTACAGTAATGTTTACAGAGCCGCAGCTATTGCACAAATATAATAAATGCTCTAATATCTACCTAAGAATTTTTAAAAATATAATTGAAATGCACTTTTAAACAGGAAAACATTTGAAAGCCACATTGTGCAATAATATTATGCACCCTAAAATAGAATCTCACTTTCAGTTTTTGAATTTTTATTTCATCACTCCGTGTTAATTCTTAACTGGACCATATCTCATACAGAACATTCAAGCCATTAACTATATTAAATCTGTTTGGGACAGCACAGCAACAGAACAGCACTTCTGATGTTTTCCATTAATGTAACACGCTGAACAGAACAAAGAAAGTATTGTTTTACGGTTATTTTTTTCCTTAAAGACTTAAGCTAACATACACCTGCAATTTGGTAATGAAGGCCCCAATTCAGCAAAGCAGTTAAGCATATGCTTCAGATTCCAACACATACTCAAAAGGTTTATTGAGCAGGGACAATATTTAGTAGAGATGCAAAATAAACTTTAAAATAGAGCTACTGCCCTTAACAATAAACAGAGAATTAATCCCTTTTATACAGCATCCATCAAATCTTTGGATTTTGTGTTCATAATTCATATCTTAATCCTAAAAGCACAATTTGTTCTCTCAGTAGTGTTGCAACAGGAAGCAGTATCACTGTTAACCTCGATGAAACCTGACCATTAAGTTCTCACTAAAGCTGACAGTCTTGGAGGAGCTTCTGAAATGTTACAGAAACAGCCACACTGTGATATACCATTCACCAAGGGCAGCTGGGGGAAGAGCTCCAGCCTGACAGTTACTTCAGTTCACCATCAGTTCCAGTTTCCTCAAGGATAAAACACAACTAGAGAACAGATGAAGGTATGACTTTCTGCATAACAGAAAACCTAGGGAATACAACACTGGGGAAATTTTCAGTTGGCTACGGATCAGAAACAACACAATGGTATAGCTTAAGCTCTGTGAAACAAAGATTAACACAAAACAGTGAGTCAGGTTTATCTCTTAAGAGTACTTAAAGGTAACTCCCTGGATGTGAAATGCCCAGTAATAGACAGATACTTGGGTACAAATAGCACATCACATGCAATAAAGGAAAAAGCTTTAATGTAAGAGGACTCTTGGATCACCCTCATTGAATTTGTGCTACTGGGCAACAGCCTACAATACTTCATGATCACAACTCTCTGGGACTTCTACATCCCATTACATTCAACTTTGCAACTAGAACATTAATCTACATTATGGTCCAGCCACAGTGAACATAACTCTCATTTTTGACACTGAGCTGAACTCTGGCAAGAAAACAAGCATATTGCTGTGGAACAGAAACAGGAGGGTCTTCCAGTAATTCACAGGTGAGTGCTGTCTATAACCTAGATAAAAAAGCCAGTGATGTTTGCATGATCCCTTCCACCTGAGAAAGATTACTGCTATTGCCAAAGGGATTAAACACTCCATTTACAGGCTTGTGCTTAATTACTAACGTTGCCTAGAAAGAACTCACACTTTTATAAATAAATTGAAGGAGCTATAAATAGCTTCTGCAACACCAGACTTCAGTGCAAAGAGATAAAACAGTCAAGATCTGAATTGAATCCTTAGCTGAATATACTTTTTTTGTCTCATAACACAGACGCAAGGGAGGGAGGAAAAGTTAAACTAAAATTCCTTTCACCTGCCTTTTTAGGACATTGCAAGAACTACCAATATGAACCAGATGATGTAGAAAATATTTAATAAAATACACAACATCCCTAGCCTCTAAAAAAAGAGGCAAGAACACTTCCACTTTTAACATCTTCAAAGTAAACATAGGTGGTGCAAGATTCCAGCCACCCCTCTCTCAAAACTCATTATATTTCTTTACAAATTACACAATACACAGTTGTGCAACAAATCAACAACTTACTCAGGTCCTGCTTTGGAGATTTGTTATAATCTCTTGTTATTACCCAAAGATCATTATGCAGGGTTATCCTAAGCTAAAATAATACAGTGAATTACACCGTCATAGATAGAAGAAATTGCATCTGGTTCCAACGGCTTTCATTTGAACACCTGAAATGATGACATGATTTCTTATTGACAACTGCTATTCAACATTTTATGACTAAGCAAGTAACTAGAGCACTTGTGACATCTGCATTTTGCTCTAAATGAAATTAACATAATTAGGACCAGCCAGCACAATCTCATTAACAGCTTTTTCGATGAAGGAAAGAGGAAATAGCATTATGAAACTCTGTTTCAAGGATAAAAGGATACCCAAAAATATCAAATGTACAAAAAAATCTGAAAACGTATAAATGTTTCATGATTTTTATGCTGCATGCAGTACTTCTGAAGTTATCATAAGTAAACACTGAATCTCCACACTGATGCCATTTGTCCACCTCACACAGTATGAAAGTGTGTTGGTTTGAAAGTAAAACCAGTGCGAGACTCCAAGTCAGTAATACAATTTAATAGGAGAAAAGAGAAAAAATAAAATACATGCAATAATATAAAAGAAACAACCACCAACACAGTCAGAAATACAACCTGACATCCTGTCAGTCAGGGTGTTGGTAGCAGTCCCATTAAATGGTGGCTGCAGTCCTCCTGGATGACAGATGTGATTCAGGTGAAGCAGTGCTCCTGTAGAAGGTGCACTTTCCTCTGAAGGTCCAGCAATGATGTGGAAAAGGTCCAACTTTCCTCTGGGATCCCATGGAAGGGGCTGCCTTCGGGTCCCAAACCCCAGTTTTTTATCTAGGTAGGAAAGGCTTGGCTCCTGCCCCTGGCTGGGGCATCTCCCAATGGGATGATGTAATCTTATCAGTCACACAATAGGACTTAATGGCCCATTAACAGAAGATATCTTCTGGAGGAAGGATGGGTTGTGAAAAGACAACGATGATCATCCCCCTGATCTTATCAGATGGCACATCAGCAGAGGATATGTCCCACAGAGATAAGGATCACCACCCCTCCCACATTTTAACAGATGGTGATAGAATACACATTTTTGCATTGTACCCCAGGACAGAAAGCTACTCAACTCCTCTCTCCCTACCACCACCTCAGGATGTCACAAAAGGTAAGAGAATAAAAAACAAGACAATCTGATTATAGCAACATTAGACAGAAATGCTTCTATGACCTTTAATTGAATAGTAAAGCTATGCACTTTGATGGCACTGGAAATCCCACTATATTGTTCTTTCTCCTTAGTACCCTTCTCCTTTTCACTGTCATTGATAATGCACCATTAGACTTGCTGCAAGATAAGCCTACATAATAGAAGTATATTTAAACCAAAACTCTTTATTATCTGACATGGAGAAATTATGGTCAATCACAGGTAAGGACAGAGAAACAAAGTAACAAAGAGT